AATTAAACATAACAATATCTAATCAATCCGTAATATATATACATATGCTAAAAGAAATTGATCGTTTACAAACTTTTACTTCAATAGCGGGAAGATTCACACAATTCTTACGAATGAATATGAGAGACAGAAGTTAAGTGTTTCTTTGAGAGGACTCAAAGAATTTGTACTTCTGATACGGTGGAAAAAGATGAAAAGTTACTGACTGACACATTAATAGCAAATGGTTATCCATTAAAGTTTATTAATAGGTGCAAAAGTCAGTTAATGCTAAGACCTTTTGTTTATTCGGTTCCAAAGTAAAAAGTTTATATCAATCTACCACATAGAGGCGAGTCTAACAGTATAGTTTTAAGACAGAGATTGAAAGCAGCCATCGAGAATACCTATTATGATGCTCGATTGGTTGTGATTGAAAAGTCTAAGCCCATGATTCTTAATAGATCTAGACAATGCACTAATGATTGTGTGGTCACACATACATAGGGAGGAGTAATCGAACAATGCAATTAAAGGTCATTGAACATATGCCAAGATGGCTTCAAAATCAATGTGTGTCAAATGATCCGTTCAATGTGGGAGGTAGAAAATCAGGTTCATCAATAGCGAAACATATAATTGAAACGGGGCACAAAATTGACATTATACAGATTTTAAAACGTTGTCCCCGACTCAGCTAACTCGATCAAGAAGTTTTGGTAAGACGTAGAAAGTGTATTCTATAGGCAACCAGCAGATACCAGGTCAATCAGGCACACAAATCAAGCGTATTTATACAAGTATATATATAATCGATATTGTCATTTAAATTTTTGAACATTCATCAATAAGCAAAGGTGGATAGTGGCTAGCAGTGGAATCCAGGACGCGCGTTTCGTCCTATTTGGGACTCGTCAGCCGGATGTACCTGCATCTCAGAGTTGATGTTCACTCCAGGACTCGAACCCAGTACCGTCCGCTTCAGTCCTAAACATCAATGGGAAGATTCAAACAAATAAAAAACAAAAACAATATCAAGTGAATTAAACGTCACCCCATTGCACAAGCAAGTGACTATCAGGACTCAGTAGCTAAGTGGATAACGCGATGGCGTTTGAAGCGGACGGTACTGGGTTCGAGTCCCGGAGTGAACATCAACTCTGAGATGCAGGCACATCCAACTGATGAGCCCCAAATAGGACGAAACGCGCGTCCTGGATTCCACTGCTAGCCACTATCCACCTTTGCTTATAATGCTTGTAAATTAAGGCAATATCGAGGCATACGCACAGTATGCACATATGCCAATAAGAGACTGAACAATTTCAGTCCTAAACATCAATGGGAAGATTCAAACAAATAAAAAAAAACAATTCATCAATAAGTTCGTCAATTGACTACCATTCAAATATTTAAACATTTAATCGATAAGGTAAAATTACAAATGTGAGTTTTTAGGGGATCTATCGTCCCCAACATTATACGAATATCAGAAGAATAAAACCATCATGCAATGTTCATTTCAGATCGTGTTTAAAAAATAAAAATTGTTTCTTAAGACTTTCATTGTTCGCTAGTAAAAAGCGAAATCTAGATTCCAAGTTTAGTTCGTTTTAGGATTTGAGTCTTGATTGGGAAATCAACACTGAGATACTGGTGCATACAGTTGAAGGGTCCAACATAGAATGAAGTGAACTTCCTAGATTCTTTTGTTAACCACTGTCCAATTCCAATTAAACATAACAATATCTAATCAATCCGTAATATATATACATATGCTAAAAGAAATTGATCGTTTACAAACTTTTACTTCAATAGCGGGAAGATTCACACAATTCTTACGAATGAATATGAGAGACAGAAGTTAAGTGTTTCTTTGAGAGGACTCAAAGAATTTGTACTTCTGATACGGTGGAAAAGATGAAAAGTTACTGACTGACACATTAATAGCAAATGGTTATCCATTAAAGTTTATTAATAGGTGCAAAAGTCAGTTAATGCTAAGACCTTTTGTTTATTCGGTTCCAAAGTAAAAAGTTTATATCAATCTACCACATAGAGGCGAGTCTAACAGTATAGTTTTAAGACAGAGATTGAAAGCAGCCATCGAGAATACCTATTATGATGCTCGATTGGTTGTGATTGAAAAGTCTAAGCCCATGATTCTTAATAGATCTAGACAATGCACTAATGATTGTGTGGTCACACATACATAGGGAGGAGTAATCGAACAATGCAATTAAAGGTCATTGAACATATGCCAAGATGGCTTCAAAATCAATGTGTGTCAAATGATCCGTTCAATGTGGGAGGTAGAAAATCAGGTTCATCAATAGCGAAACATATAATTGAAACGGGGCACAAAATTGACATTATACAGATTTTAAAACGTTGTATAGAAATTATGAAGGACGAATTCTCAAGTTTATTGAAGCCTTGGTTATTCGTAAATTTAGACCCCTCTTATATGTACAAAAACAATTTGTCGTAACCTTGAATTTACCTTGGTAATCCTTAAGTCATTCTATGGCCTAAGATAACGCGACAATTTTTTATTCTTTCTATACGATGTAAAATTGTTTCTCTCCCCTTTGTTACCTTTTTTCTTACTTGAACATTCATTTAATTGTCCTTTATTAATTTTCACATAAAATGCCCTGACAAGTATATGTGTGACCAGATTGTTCGAAATGTATAGCGCAAATACTTCACATATTTCAGATCAACTCCGTCTTCTCATCTCAATTTATAAAAGGGACTAATTGCTTTACAGTCGATTAGGTGTTCAAGTATCGAACTCCTAACTGCTTTCCTTTCACCCTTATAGAACCAAGATGGGATATGTTCCCGTATCCGAGTTGAAAGCATGCTCTGGCTACGGCCAGCAAGGTACATTGGCCGTAGCCAGCGCTTGCTTTCAACTCGGATACGGGAACATATCCCAGCTTAATTGCTTTACTTCAATAGCGGGAAGATTCACACAGTCCTTACAGATGAATATAAAGGACAGATGTTATAAAACATTACGTAACAATGTAGCTATTTGACTAACTATCTATGAAACAGCAAAATTATAGTTTATAATATCTCATCATCATGACATGAATGACAAGCTGTTTTATTACAGTTGAAACAATGAACATTTACTACATCCCATCATGACAATAAAGAACAATTCATCGTGCTTTATAATAAAGTGAATTGGATTACATTTTACTCCTTTGATTTTGATTGTATTAATATCATGTTAGTTTTTAATCTAGTGTAACATGAGCGATTTATAGTGTCGCGTGGCATTTCAAGTCGACATAGCTTATTCTGGATTTCGGATAGATCAATTTATTCATTCTACTTCAGTTATATTTTGACCTTATTAATTATTCACTTGTCAACCTTAATTGTTTTTTTTTCTGTGAGTGCATTCCTTATCCTATTCATCGCATGTCTGTAGCTTCTAATTGTTCTGACTATAAGTATTGAGTAACGCTTAATTAGAATGAGTAGGTTCACATGCGTTCTCCGATTCGTTTCGCTTTGCTCTTTCTTACTGACTTCCCCTTGTGCTTGCTTTCTGCGTTCCTTACGGATTTTATCAATTAATAACAGTATACTATCCCTATAACTGGTGTTCTGTCTTTTAGATAATCTCGAGTATATTTATGATATTATTAGAACGGGATATAGAGAAAATTAGCCTCAACACTATGATGTTGATGATTGACTGATGTTCTATCTCAGGTATCGAATTCATCATCCTTCATAAACAGAGCTGAGATCCAGGGATTTACATTTCACATCTTCAGTCAATTTGTATTTTTCAATATTGTTAATAGATAACTAGTTTCAGGTTAGAAAGTGCCAAATTACAACTTTATGGTAAAATATTGTGTTCCTGTGACATTTTGAATTTTAGACAAGGGGTACTTAAATATTACCTAGTCCAATATATGAATTACTAGTCAAGTTTTTTGATTGAGATCATAAACCGATTAATGTTAGACCACCGTTGGAAACCTGGAAGCACTGGATGACCGTTTCGTTCTATTGTGAGACTCCTCAGCAGTGCGCATCAACGATCCGGTCCACCGCGAGATTTGAACCCAGGTCCTTCAGTCTCGCGCACACGAAACCTGGGTCCAGGGTTTCCTGTCGACTACCTTCAACCACCATCTAATCTCAACATGGTGCACTCAGTGTCGAGTCACCTAGACTGGTGTCCAGCATTTGATCTGCACTAATAAAGACTTGGCATACATGACAGGGATCACCACCCAGTGTTCAATCAATTGTGATCACATCTCAGTCATACAGGAGGTTGGTCGCGGCCCGGATAGCTTAGTGGTAACATCTCTGACTGTGAAGCAGGGTGAAACGGTGTCAAATCCATCAGGGAGCACCAGTTCCCTCAAGATAACAGGTACACCTTGCTGACGAGTGTCAAGTAGCACGAAGCCCGGGTCCAGGGCTTCCTGTCAACTATCTCCAACCACCATCTAGCCTCACAATAGTGCACGCAGTGTCAAGTCACCTAGACTGATAGCCACATTGCTACATGATCAATAGCATTCGATCTACATTATTAAGGACTTGACACACATGACATTGATCACCACCCAGCGATTCTTCACTATCTTTAAACTCATCAACAATTATGAAAACAAAATCAATTATCAGTGGAATGTTATTAAAAAAGAAAATCGATAATGTACATGAATGAAAATATAAAACCAAAAATGCATACTTTTCATGTTTCTTGTTGTTGTTTTAGTTTTTTTTTGTTTTCTTCATGTTCACATTGAAGACTTCAAACAACACCACCACCACCACCACCAACAACAACAACAACAACAACAAAATAGTAATACTTTGAAATCATTATTAAATATACAAGTTGTTTTCTTTTTCTTTTCTTTTTTGTTTTACATATGTTTTTTTCATGATTACGTAATAGTTGAAATCTTATAATTCATTCCTGATAGGAAATGTATATAAACAATTATAATACAATTATGATGATATAATTATAATGATTTATACAAAAGTATTGAATGATTTCCAAGGAAGAAATATATGAATTTATTCGCTTCATGGGATACAAAACTATAGAACAAAAGAAAAACAAAGTTTTTTTTGTTTTTTTTTAAATGAAGAAAAAGAGAAAGGAGTAATTAAATCGATATTATTGGGAAAAAAAACCAACTTGGCACTTTACTTGAACTTTTGGATTATCTATTCTTGTTATCTAAATAGTTCAACACGTTGTTTGTCTTTGTTTGCATTTATATATATCATTATGTCTATTCCGTATGATATTGACTATGTACGGTGTGCCTGAGATGGATGTCATATGATGGATTAAACTACAAAATCATGGATGAAGAACAACTGACAGACTCGTTCGAAGTAAAGACCGGTGTCAGGTACGGTTGCTTACTCTAACGCTTTCTCTTTCTGCCGATGATCGACTGGATCATGAAGATATCAACATCTGGAGAGGAAGCATGGGATATAATGGATGGCTAGGATGCAGTTAAAAAACCTAGCTCTTCTATCGCAAAAGCAACAACAGATGCAGAAGAAGAGGATCAGTGTAGTAGCAGCCTCAGCAGCAGTAGGTCTCAATATATACAAACGGAAAAGCAACATTCTCCGATACAACAAAACATGCACCAATCAAATCACACATGACGGAGAAGATTTGGAAGATGTAAAAACCTTTGCATATCTTGGCAACATCATTAATGAACACGGTGGATCTGATGCAGATGTGAAGGCGCCGACCGATAAATCAAGAGCAGCATATCTACAACTGAAGAACATCTGGAACTGAAAACAACTGTCTGTCAAACAAGTCCAAACTCAGAATTTTCAATACAAATGTGGAGACAGTTCTACTATATGGGGTGGAAACTTGCAGAACTACGAAATCCATCATCTAGAAGATACAACTGTTTATTAACAGCTGTCTCCATAAAATACTTTGGGTCTGTTAACTAGACAATATAATCAACAATCTGCCGTGGAACAGAACAAACCAGATTCCAGTGGAGAAAGAAATCAGGAAGAATCTCTGGAATTGGATAGGACACGCATTGAGGAAAGCACCGAACTGAGTCACAAGGCAAACCCTCACTCGGAATCCTCAAGGCCAAAGGAGAAGAGGAAGGACAAAGAACACATTACGTCGAGAAATGGAGACAGACATGAGACAAATGAACAAGAATTGGATAGAACTAGAAAGGGAGGAGCAGAATATAATGAGTTGGAGGATACTGGTTGGCGACCTATGCTCCTTGATGAGGGGTAACGGAAGTAAGTAAGTGAGTAAGTAATATCTATTAATAGTATAACCTATTCATGTATGTTCCCGTAAAGTGTACAACCTTTCATTGTACAAGTTACAAAAGGCCTAATCAGAGATATCGTGGTGGCTGGCAATATGCAGTCAAAAGAATGTACATTATTTTGATGTTGATTTACTAAACTTCTAACATCTAACTGGTGATCACTCAATACTTATCGCCAGTATCAACCAAGAAATAAGTAACGGAAACCTATTGAAATATTTTGTGTTGAAAATTCTATATTGTACGAATGATACAATATTGAATAAAGCCACTAATAATAATAATATTAATAATAAACTGAAATTAAGTGTACTTTGATTCAGTTCTGTGTTATCATTCTTTGTTACGATGAAACATTTCTTATTCTGATCTGATTACTATTTAATGGACAAGACATTTAGTTATCCCATATTAGCCCCCAAATGCTCTGGTACAGCCGAGAGTGGAAAGAGTTGGCACTCCCTCTTTAAAAGCTCTCAAGTGTCCACGTGCATACAACCACTGACAGGGAAGTCCTACTTATTGAATTCTCTTGGCATTACTGTTGTTTACAAAATTGAGAGGACGAAAAGCGAATATCTGGCTATTTAACCAGGTTGGTGAATACGAAAGATCCACCTAGAGGAGTTGGAAAACTCTGATTACATGGTCTCCAGGATCCTAAGGAAACAAATAGCGTATGAACTCATCGTTGGTCATCGGCTACCAGAAGACTGAATCTCCTTACGTTGCTGCACTGCCCTGTGGATTAGACGTTTGGGTCAAAGGCTCGAGATGTTGCCCCCTAAGAAAATTGCCTGATTCGGTTTAGGCACTCGGGAAGTATCCTAACTCTCACATAAATTGAATGATTTATGTGGCTCACGTCTATTTGGTGCCTCTCTGTACGAATATTTATGTGTCTAAAGACATAAATAAATAAAAATCCCATATTAAGTATAATATGTGGAAAAGTCTTTCCGTTTTAATGTGGGACTCGTCAGCAGTACGCGTCCATGATCCCGCCTCGCGAGATTCGGACCCAAGGCCTAAAAATTTCGCGCCACTGAGCCGGCCGTCTTCCAGCGATGTTAATCTCTAACTTCAACTAATCTATGAAATCGAGCGACATATTCATCATTGTCTTCAGTGAGTTACTAACTCACGACAGACCTAAATGAACTCCACTGATCATTGCTTCTCACTAGAACTCCAGGAAATACCAGTTGAATTCAGTCACTAGTGATCATATGTTGATTAATATCAGAAGTTGTTTTGGGGATATTATAGTAATTTCTTAAAAGTTTAGATCATGAGTCGATTGAAGCTAATGTTTAAAGGAAACACCTTACTACTTTAAGTCTTATCGCTCTTCGACCGACATGTCTGGCATGGTAGGACCTTGTGGAACGATTGTTTCAACCAGTGTAATATATCTTCTAAGAGATCTATATCAACTTTATTATTATTATTATTTTATATCATATCATGTTTAATGAAACTAGTTAAGGAAACAACCTACTAATAGGTACTTAAAACTAAGCATGATATTATTATATGAAAAGAAAAGAAAAGAGAAATGGGTATTGAATTACTTCATATCTGAATGTAGTTCAATGATTGAAATGTTTTTGTTACAATAATTGAAGGTCATTAAATCTCATAGAGGTGTAAAAAATAAATAGTGATATCATGGCCAATCATGGATAAAATAATGGGAATATGAGAAATAAGTAAAGGGGGAAACGGAGTAATAATAATAATAATAATAATAATTAAGGCCGACGTAACGATAACAATAGGACGTACTTGTTCTGTACGCATAGTTCTGGCTTGAGCTAACGGATATTAAAAGATTCGGCTAGTTTTAGGAGTTGGATACAAAGAAATCTAGGTAGATTTGAACGAGACGTATATATTATTATTATTATTACTTCATTTCCCCTTTACTTATGTCTCATATCTCAATAGTTGAGATCATATGTCAATTGGAGTTAGACTACCATGGAAAACCTGGAACCACTGGATAGCCGTTTCGTCATACACATCTTCAAATCAATTAAATAGATTCACATCCAATAGCGAAAAATTAGTGTATACAGTAGCTTCAATAATATTAACTTATATCGAAAGTTATATCCCGAATTTAAAAGTATTTGTCGATTTCAGTGATCTTAAGTGCTGTTAGAGGTATGAGGGCGGTTATCATTTCCTGGTTGCCTACACCGTAGAAGGGTTCTTCTGGAGGTACCTGAAAAAAACCTGGGTTAGGGGTGATCTTAGTAAGGTGAGAACGTGGCCGTAATGCTCAAGAGACAGTTGCTTGAGGTTGATCACACAGGACCTTATTGTGAGTAATTTTCATGTTAGCTCCGTACTTATCGGAACCTTACCGCCGGAGACGAAAATCCGTGAGATAAGGAGGGGTGTGCATTTTTACGGTCGACCTTTTCTAACCCAACTCCTCCTTGCGGGAAGTCAGCATCGTTGCTGTGCTGATTGTCTAAAGGAAACACCTTACTTCTTCTAGCTTTACCACTTTTCAACCGGCCTGTCTAGCATAGTAGGACCTTGAAAAATAATTGTTCCAGCCAGTATACTTCGATTGTTTCATCATGATAGGCAAGCCCGACCATCACGTCAAGATAGCAGCAACGGTCGGGATCTGTTGGTTTGATTAAGAATAAATGCTTTATTGTACAGAAATAAATGTAGGCGCAACTTAAGCCAACATTTACTTAGCTTCTAAGTCATGGTTGCTATTCCAGTTCTAACAAAGGTGATGTATATTTAAATAGTGATTAGAAATGTATTGAAAAAAGAATGTTTCATTCAATATAGTACTCAATATGTAAATTCCATTACAATCCGTAACTAAAATAGTCAATTATGATAACTATAATCTATTCAATCAAAATAACTATAATAATAACAAAAGGGCAAAAAAAAATAGGATGTACAAACACTCACTTACCTAGAAAATGTTCCACCAACTATACAATGCCAATAAGGTTTATGTTTATGATCAAATTGTATTTTAATATATCTTGCAATTTCTTGTTCAGTATTATGTTCATCAATTGCATTTGCAGCTATATAAACAGCATCCTCTTGCATAGAACGATTCATATCAGCATCTTTAACCATAGCTACTATTTGTTTCATAATATTACTGTTATTATTATTATTATTGACTATATAATATTAATTTATAAGTAAATGATCAAGGGATAAATAAATGTGCTCAATCGTTAGAAACTATACAATTATATATCTATACCTATCTCTCTCTATCTCTCTATATATATAACTGATTGTAATTGCTTCCCAAATAAAACAATTTAATTTACTCAGCACAATTGTGCTACAGAACTACACAATAAAGGGTGTAACCAATCATTACAATGTTAACTTATTGTTAATTTAGGGAGGAAACAAAAAAAAAACAAAAAAAAATGAAGAAAGAAAGAGAGAGAGAGAAATCAACAACTTATGCTTACACAATTGATGTGTACAAATAAATAATGTAATTTGTTGACAGACAATAAAACAAACAAACAAACAAACAAAAATGTAAACTATCTTACTACTAATATAAGCGACTACATTCTATAGGATAGAATAAAAGCAATAATTAGAATAGAAAAAACAATTTGAATAATACAGATAAAGTATGATGAATGAATATAAACTGAAAGTAATTAAATATATAGTTCATTGTTCATTGTGCTCATATTAATGTCGATAGTTATCCTGGAATGATACACTTTGATTAATTTGCTTTAGTATATACATACATGTTTACTATATTGGTATATAATGTATTTGATGAAATCTTAGAACGGATAGGAAAAGCCTCAATTAGCTTTTGCCAACTTGCGTCATTTATGGCGTAGACGAGATATCCATCTACCAACCAAAGAATGGGTTTACTGCGTAGCGGTTCGTTCCGTTCTATTTTATGGTTGTGAAACATGGCCGGTAAGAGTAGAGGATATTCGTAGGTTACTAGTATTCGATCATAGGTGTCTTCAAAGTATTGCTCGTATATCCTGGGACCACCGAGTGAGTAATGCAGTTGTTAGGAAACGGGTACGAATTAATTAATGAAGTGGTGAAACTCCATTAGTTGAGATGACTGGGACATATGTTACGTATACCCAACAACCGACTGCCACAACGTGCGATGTTTTGTGGTGTAGGAATAGGTTGGAAGATAGCTAAGAGCGGTCAGATCAAGACATGGCACAAATCCATGAAGTCACTGACAAGTGTACTGAGTGAGCCATATTGGTAGGTGTAGACTACCTGGTTGGGATCCGCGAGATGATAGCAATCAATGGTTAGAGACCTTGAATGACATGGCTCAAAATCGTTTACAATGGAGCAGGTGCATCCACTCTTTGTTTTCTCCCAAATTCTAATCTTCTGAATTCTTCATGTCCCTTTCTTTTTTCTCTTTCCAAATCTATTTCACTGTATTATACTCCTTGAATAACATCTTCAAACACTAATCTTTCCGATTACTGATTATACTCTTACCACCTCTACCACTACAGGGTTTGAATCGACAACTGCATCTGTGTGCTAATGTGGTATGGCAACTCGAACTAACGTACGTAAATACGAATTTCTACATTGTTACTGACTGACTGACTGATTAATTTCAAATTAGGTATTTGTGGAGATTGTAGTAGACGATAGACGATGCTACAGTTTCGTGAATGAGTTAAAGTTACATAATAACACCAACACAACTCGAACAGATGTACGTACGTACGTATGCAGTTCTAATTTGTTGCTAACTGATTAATACAGCAATATGAAATTAGTCTACACGACAATCATCGAATGTTAAATATGATATCTTTGAGTTACTAATCTATATACTAGAATCATACAAAATGATTTGGTTCTTGTTGTATATATTTAATTTTTAAATGTTGAAGACTTTAATATTGATTGCAATTTTTTTTGTTTATATCATCTATGTTTCTGTATAGTGTGATACAGTTGAATTGATACACGCATAGTAACTAAATCAACTTGACATCATTTATCGGTTATCCCATTTATCTTATTTAGACAGGGATAAAGTTGTGAAAAAAGAGACCCCCCCCTAGAAAGTGCTTCTTTTTGTTTATTACAATGAAAAACTATTATACTAGAATATAATAAAAAGTATTACCATTGAAATTTATCATCTAAGATAATCTAATAATTTAAAGTAGATTTATTGATCTTATAGTGTGCAGATTGAAATATAACACGGAGAACACAAACATAATTACACTTTATACTGAAGCTTTGGAATATGTGGAAACTTTTACATACCTGGTCAGCATCACCTATGAATAAGGAGAATCTGATGTAGATGTAAAGATAAGAATTAATAAAGTAAAGAAAACATCTCTACAGTTAAAGAACATATGGAACTCAAAACAACTGTCAGTAAGCCAACATCGAATTCATTATCTTCAATACGAACGTCAACATAGTCCTGAACTATGGAGCTGAAACTAAGAGAACTACAACAATCATCATCAAAAAAGTAAAAGTATTTATGAACAATTGGCTACACAAGATACTCAATATATGTGGACCGGATAGCATAAGTAACAACCTACTGTGTGAAAGAAATAACCAGGTTTCATCTGAGGAGGAAATTAAAGAATGACGTTATAGGTGAATAGGATATGTAATAAAGAAATCATCAAACTAAATTATGAAACATGCACTAACTTGGGATCGTGAAGGGGAATTGGAAAAAATCAAAGTCCAAATAACACACTACACTGACCATTGTAATCAGATATGAAAAGAATGAATAGGAAATGGAAACATGTGGAAGAGAATGATGAAATTATAGTTAGGTAGAGAATGCTGGTTTATGATCTATGCTCTACCACAAAGATTAACAAGCGTAAGTAATAAGAAATCCAAATGACTATCAACAAACTACATTAATACCTGAAAATCAATTTATCATCAGTAAATTGTCTCATATATTACATAATACTCCAATTCATTTTTTTTCTTTATGTTGCTTTATTCATATAATAATGAAATCTAAACGAGACTATAATTTATGGACGAACTAATAAGGTATAAGATTACAGGTTAGAAATTTTGATAGAGTTTTGTTCTTTGACTAAACCATCCATCTCAGAGAAAAAAACTTCAACAAAATTATTCATTTGAACCACCAGGTCTTAAATTTTAGCGCGAAATTCACTCATCTATTTGGTTAAATAAAGTTATGGCATTATAACTGATATCAGTTCGTAATAAAAAAACCTTAATTCTAATTTCTAACCTTAACCATCAACTGTAAATCATAATTCGAATTCCTTACACTTTTATAATCCTCATTTAGTCCTAGTTAGTAGTAGTAGTAGTAGTCGTAGTAGTAGTAGCAGTAATAGTAGTAGTAGTAGTAGTAGTAGTAGTAGTAGTAGTAGTAGTAGTACTAGTAGTAGTAGTATTAGTAGTAGTAGTAGGTGGATACTCTCAAGGTTACTTTAACTTTCTTCATAGATCGTCTATAAATTATAGTCTCATTGAAATCTTTATTCATTGAATGTACTTATAATTTGTCAATAACTAAGATAAATATTCATATATGGATGATACTTACCTTTTGTATATTTCATTAAATGTTATTATTTAAATGAAATAGAATTTATATTCCAAATGAATATACTACTTACTAACTACTCAAATCAAATAGGATAATCTTGAAGAAAATCACTTTAGTTTTTTTCTCTGAAAGTATTCTGTCATTACTTAGATATATATATTTCTATCTAATCATACTGTAAATGTATCTAATCTATAAAACACGTAATCATAAATAGTATCTATTCTGGTTCGTTTATTAATAGTAATTAATTAACACATCTTCAACATGTTATGCAATGAATATAGAAGATTAAATTTCTTCTCTTTTTTTTCTCTTTTTTTTTAATATTGTAAATTTGCATTATTGATTATTGTGGTTAATTTCATATGATGATGATAATGATAGTTTTTTTTCATTTTTTTTCTCTTTTTTTGTTTTTGGTAACTAACTTAAGAAAATCTTTCAATCAAATATTAATCAATGACATGGTTACTAGAATCGAGTTAATACAAGTAAGTAAACTATTAAATGTAGATTGATTTGTATCAGAAGGGGTTTTGTGAAGATTGTAGTAATTTTAACAGTTGAGATCATGAATCAATTGAAACTAGATCATCATGGAAAACTTGGAAGCAATGGATGACTGTTTTGTCCTAATGTGAGACTCTTCAGCAGTGTATATCCACAACCCCACTTCACGGGATTCAAACCTAGGACCTATTGATTTAATTGAAAAACAGTTTTCTTTTTACATGCAATTCAATAATTTGATCCCTGGTGCTGAAAACAAAATTCAATTTCATTAAAATAAAATGTTTTTCTTAGAGAATTTGAAAGTTTATTTTATGTAATAATTGGAAAGTGGAATGCTGAGTTCAATCTTGATTCTATTATGAAACTAAATAATTTAGGGGGAGATTTTAAACTCTGCCAGGATGCAATGAAAGTTCAATCTTAATAATATCTCTAATGTAGAAATATACTGTCAGTTGTTAGACTAATCATGGACAATGAAACAATGAATTAGAACTAGAGTGATTAGTGTTTTCATTGCCATACAGTCAGTTTACCTACGAAATTCGTCATTAAGCTTCAACCGAATTTCGAAACAACATCGAAGAAGTAACTTTATCAGATGATGTTTTAGAAAATCGACATCATGTTTGTTGCTTTTAATGTGTCCACATAGGAGGCAGGTCTTTACGTGGAGGGAATGTTTTTTAGACAGAGCGGTAATCAGATAATATTTTTTGGTCACGTTGATATCAGATTTTATAACTGAAAATTTAAATAAGTGAACATTAATGAGTCTGTTGAGTTGATCCTTCACTGGTTGCAGACATTCTGTTGTGATGTGTGCTACTGATAATGATAGATATAAGTAGTATGTATCATCAATCGAAAGTGAAATGTCTGGCGGCAGAAGGTTAAGAAGATCGAAAGAAAAAGGACGAGAACAGGGATTGATCGGTCTGGAAAAGAAGTAATAATCAAGTCTGAAACGATTGACTGACATTTTGCAAATGAAGTATTTACTGTATTATTCTCAGATTTTACTAAGATGCTCTGTAATTTCAGGTACAAATACACTCAGTTGTCTCCGCTTGTGTTCTTATTCACTACAGTGTCAGTCATTCAGTAGTACAAAATATGTGGGGCGAAGAGAAGAAATTTTCTTGTGTAGCTCAAAGCGGTGATACAGCTGAGCGATAACAGACCAATATGGTTTAATGTCTTCGTAAAAGTCTAGAATAATGACCGACTCACCTTGTATATTCCTCAGGATTTTTGTTAACTTATATACAGTTCGTTCTGAAGCATCTTTGGAAATGTTTTCCCAAAAGATTTTATTGGTGTCAGACAAAATGTTAGATGCTTTGGTAATATAGCCCTCACTGAATTTCGAACTTAATGATAATACTTGTGACTGAGTTGTGGGCAGTGAGTTATTAGAGACGTATTTCTCAGATATTTTTGAGAAAAAAAATGTATTTCTTGATTGGTTTCAAGTTTTAAATCAACTTCATATTTCGTGTCCTGTAAGCACTTCCTTGAAACCGTATCTACACATTTATCAAATCTGACCCTTTCATATTCACTTGGCTTTAAAACCATTTCTAAAACAGTCTATTCTCCAACTTATAGGTTGATTCTCGCAAAATCGTGTTATTAAACCCATAGCTCTTGTAGATAAACTGTGTAGGAAGTGAGCCAGTTACACAAGAATGGATGGTAATGAACTCTTCAATATAACTTAACATATTTATCTTTAAAAAAAATGAGAACTTGGGCAAGAATTCACACATCGGAACATAACATTCATGTTTATTCCTACACAGCTTCCGGTGATTCTTCAAAAGATATCATTATGTTTTCTAAACTTTTATAATTTCCATTCGATATTTTTTTCAGTTATTGCAAAACACATACTATCAATTTAATAATGAGATATGTATCCTGTCTAAACGTGAACGAGTTTTTTTAAATAAATATAAATAAACTTCATTGGGAGCTACTTTTGTTTCCGGTATAACGTATTTTGACCATATAAAATCACGTTGTGATTACAGATGAAGCAAACAATTTGTGTTCATTTAACTAATACTGCAATTGTATAATTACAATAAATAAAATAAGCAAAGCATTCTTTATTTTAAATATATTAGTTGGTTCATTTCTTTTTTTATTATGAATGTCTATAGGATATATGAGTCTCACTGGATCACACTACACAGAACCAGATCGACCATGTTTGCATCATTAAAAAATTCAGACGGTCAATGGAAGACGTGAGAACAAAGAAAGAAACTGGCATAGCTTCAGATCACCACCTAGTTGTGGACAAGATTGAACAGAAGCTACAAAAACACTGAACAACTAGAGAAACAACATTATAAAGGTTTAGTAGAGCTTCTCTTTGAGATACTCACAAACTCATGGAATTCAAGATAGGTTTCAATAACGTGTTTCCAGTCTTACAAGATCTCAAGGAAGAAAAAACAAGTGTGGATGACAACTAGAAAAGAATCGAAGAAACACCAACTTCAACTTGTCAGGAAGTGTTGGGCGACAAGAACCATCATCATAAGGAATGAATCTCTATAGAAACTCTCAACATGATTCAAGAGAGGAGTAAGAAAACCGCAATTAACAAAAGCCGAACAAGAACAAAGAAACTCAAGGCGCAAGCTAAGTACACAGAGGCAAACAAGCAAATGAAAAAGAGGATTAGAGACGACAAACAAAAATAATTGGAAGACCTGGCAACGACGGTGGAAAAAAGTTGAGATAGAAGGAAATATGAGACAACCACATGAAAAAAAGAATAAACTGACAGAAAAACATAGTAAACCAGAGAGAGCCGTCATGGGTAAATAAGGCTAACCAATCACTGAAATTCAATTACAGATGGACAGATGGGTAGAACACTTGGAGGAACTCTTGAATAAACCAGCTCCATTGAATCCAATGGATATCTAAGTAGCACACACAGATCTTCCTGTATATATTTATCCACCAGCGACGGAAGAAATCAGGAAGGCTGGTTATCAGACAAATCAAGAGCGAGAAAGCAGCAGGTCCAGACAATATACCAGCTGAAGCCCTGAAGTCAGACATCAAAGTAACTACAAACATGCTCCACCTTCTATCCCGGAAGATTTGGGAGGAAGAATAAGTGCCACCGACAGACTGGGAAAAAAAGATATCTCATTAAGATGGCAAACAAAGGAGGAGCAAATTTGAGAACTATAGAGACATCACATTACTGTAAGTTCCAGGAAAGGTTTTCAACAGTGTTGCTGAACCAGGTGAAAGACTAAGTAGACGTCCAACTTTGATATCAACAGACTGGTTTCCGGCACCACGGATCATCGTCGAACATTCAGTTGAGTGGAACTCGTCACTATACATCAACTTCATGGACTATGAAAAGCCGTTTTACAGTGTGGGTATGACAACTTTACGGAAACGTATTTGACATTATGAAGTGAGTACCTGAGATTGTAGTGAACAAGAACACCAATGGGAGCAATCGAATGCATTTAACAATAAATTATAGAGTATCTCAATAAAATCTGAGAACCGTATATTAGATCGTTAATTTGCAAAATATCAATCCTGTTCCTGTTGCAAACATCAATCCATTGACTCAGATTTCATTGTTCATGCGTTTTCATACAAATTTCGTTGTGTTCTCGCTCTTCGTTTTTTGATCTTCCCCCATCTTCGGCTGCCAGACATTACGTTCCTAACTCGCGTCATAAACTACTTATATCTACATAAGTAGCACACACCACACTCGTCCCCCCTTTAAAAACAGTTGTTCTTGCTGTGGTTCGTGCTTGCCGTGCAATATTCTTCTTCCCTGCAGTCTGTGCTACGCCCCCTGTCAAAATTTCGAGTCTGCGGCTCGCCGACCTCCATAGCCCCCTCGACCTGCCGGGGCACCAACATCCGACCTCCACCCGGCACCTAGGACGTTTGACACCCGTGCTTCACCGGCGTGCTGAGCCATCTACATCCAATGTCCGCCCAGCAGCCCCAAGTCCCACCTCTCCTCTCCGTCGACAGCACCCGCTACAGCCAACGCCGCCACTCCAGAACACTCCGCCAGACGCCGCCTCTCCGCACAAGACTGCCCCAACCTACAACTCAGCTCCAGACCCGCAACGGCGTCCGCAGAAAAGCACCCTTCCCCTCTACTAATTGGCAGCGAAACTAAATGTAGTGAACAGAACAGACAATCGAATGCATTTAGGCACATAATTACAGAGCATCTCAATAAAATTTGAGAACTATATATTTAAAAAGTACAGGAAAAAAGAATTAGTTCGTAGAAAGAAAGGTATAAAGCAAGTTTAATCTCACAGTTTAAGGGAAGACAGAGAGTGTATGCACCTACGCGGTTGTGATCGATTCTAAGCCACATCACCCAGTCACCAAACATTGGTTACGATAGTCACGCGGACCCCAACCAAGTAGTCTGCATCTATCAACATGATCCAGACTAGAATTTAGTGACTTGAAGGTCTGATGACACGTTTTGGTTAGGCCGCCGCTGGCTTTCTTCCGATCATCATCAACATTAGTCAGCATTGCGCATCGTGGTAATCAGTTTTCAGGCATACGCAAACGTAACTCAGCCATTTCAGTCGATGAAGATTTATAACCTAATCAACTGATTTACCAGCATTTCCTA